TGCCACCCTATCACCCCAAAGCTAACCCCGCTCTCCCCACAGGGCATACTCGTCTCCCTCGCCATAGCAGCATGGTACATGGACTTTATCTCCAAGACCGTCTTCGCCCACTTACTTCCCTCGCGCAAAGATTTCCTGCGCCACCCCTTCGAATCCTCGTCGAGATTCATTGAGGTCTACAAGATGCACATGGAGCAGACGTCGCAGCAGTATCAGCAGCAGAGGCTGAAGAAGGCGGAGGAGGTTGAGAAGAGGAAGCAGTATCGGTTGGAGAGGATGAGGGAGGCTGAGCTGAAGGGCGAGGAGTATGTCGAGGATCCGAGGTATTATGTTGGGGAGGATGGTGTTAGGCGGAGGAGGGTTAAGAGGTGGTTTGGTATCTGGGAGTGATGGTGTGGATGAAGCTTCCTGATAAGGGGAGGATCCCAGAGGCATATCTGTGGTGTGAAGTAGGCCGCGCAATGGCATACGGCAGTGTAGGATCTGCGTGCTGAACGGCGTCGAGACGCGCAAACATGGTGGAGAAGAGGTCAGCAAGACGACGTCTGAACCCCAGCTTCATTGAAGAGCTGTGGGTAATTACTATTACGAGGCATGTACATGAAGGTTTGTATACTAGATGGGTGAATCCTGTTCTTCAAGAATCGACAGTTCAAGGACATCTATCATTTCAACATTTCAAAAGTCTCAAATCTCTACAACCGCACATCACCCCCTTCCTCCTCCCTCCTCCCAAACCAGACCTCATCCTCCGGCCCCATCCCCCTCTCCACCCCATCCACCCCACACAACCCGCCAACCTCCGCCGGTACCTCCCAGTCCTCCATCCCCTCCACCCTCGTCGCAAACGCCATCCCCAACCCCGCCTCAGCATGCCAGCCAACGTGACAGTGAAATAACCACAAACCCGGATTATCCGCCACAAAGCTGATCAACAACCACCCATACGCCTCCACACTCGCCGTATCCCTGCGTAGCGGATTCGTCAACTTCATGTGATCGCCAACGTGACTAGGGGAGAGCAGAGTAGAAGGCGGATACCCGTGTCCCTGGGCCAAGACAAAGAATTTGTAGCCGTGCAGGTGGAAGGGGTGGGTTCCGTCATCGAGATTCTGTATCAAGATCGTTATGGTGCGTGTGGATTTGGTTTGGTAGATGAGCTGGTGAACTGAGTCGAAGGGGTGTGTGTCTAGTATGCCCTCTTGCGCCTCCGTCTCGGGTGTTTGTGTTGAGAGCAAAGTGTTTAGAAGCGGTGATGTGGCATTGATGCGGAAGGAACTGTCATTCAGATACCCGCGCGAGAGCCTCCAGTCGCGGATTTGGAACGAGGAGCGCAGGTAGAGGGTGTGGCTGGGATCGCTTTCTGGGGCTGGAACTGCGATGACGGGGGTCAGGGTGGATGTGTTCAGGTCTCGACATTCTACGTCGATGATTTCGGGCCAGTCTTTGCTTGTTGGGATGGGGTTTTTCGTGTCGTCGTCGTCCGCAGAAGAATAGTATAGTACGCCTCTGACTTCTTCTTGTAGTTCTGGCTCTTCGTATGCAAAACAGTGGGTTATCATCCTCGCGCGCATCCAGTACATGCCTTGGTTCTCCTCTTCCTTCGGTGGCGTCACGATGATACTGTATCGTTGCGCAGGATTGATGTTCAGCCGATGGATAGACTGGGGGTGCACATCCGTGCCATCGACTTCTGTGACCTGGAACTCGTGTTCGTCGATCTGTAAGGCAAATTCTGCGAATGCTCCGACGTTGATGATGCGGAGTCGTGTGTTGCTGGTGCGAGATAGGTTGAACAAGGCGTTACTGGTGCCAGAGGAAGAGCAATTTCGATTCGGCAAGTCGGCGCAGTCTCGCATGTTTCTTCCATTGATCAAGGCAGATGGCGGAACAGGCTCGTCGTTCTCGCTGCCAGGGGCGAGGTATTGCATGAGTAGGTCGGAAGAGAGGTCGTAGTAGTAGTCCGATACCATGACTACGCGGTCTTGCTCGTACGGCACCTTTTGCAATTTATCTTTCTCTTCCCCGCCCCTGGCATGGATGATAAGAGGTCCCACCAAACCATCTGACGCCTGCATGCTGACGTGCGAATGATACCAGTATGTTCCTGTTTGCCCTGATACGTTGAATCGGTATGTAAACGAGTGACCTGGGGCAATTGGACATTGCGTCACCCCCACCGTTCCGTCCATCCAATTCGTGCCATTTTGATAGAGACCGTGCCAGTGGAAAGAAGTAGCGTTGATAGCTTGATTCTGAACATTAACAACAAGCTCGTCGCCTTCGTTGCACTCGACAAGCGGTCCGGGAAAGGTGCCGTTGATGAGTATCATGGGTCGATACACGCCATCTGGGTTGAGAATGTGATCGGATACTACCCATGTATACTCTCGGGTCGTAGGTGGTGCGTTGAAATCCCATGATGAAGAGAGTATGTAGTCCTCTTCTGGTCGAAGTCTTGCAGGATGAGCATCAAGGGAGGGGGATGTATCAGTCTGGGTACTTGTCAGACCCCGATACACCAGGGCTATGACTGTGCAAATGAGAAGCGAAACAACGGTGACGGGCCTGATCCATGGCCATCGATGAATGTGATAGTGTGGAACGTCGTGCTTGTCGCTCCAGCGCGGTTCCAAGTGGTTCTCTTGGTCTTCGCTGCCTCGAGATTGGTATTGGTCTGTGGGTGCATGCAGCAAGCCAACTTGCTCCTCAGGCTTGTGCATATTCGATGTAGACGTCTCTTTCATGCCGAAGCTTTGGTTGCGGCCCATCGCGGTTAGCTTCCAAGACTACTCATCAAGTCCCTGCCTGTATTACCAAAGCGTGGTTCGGGGTATATGTAGCAGTAATTGTTGATGATGTTTGGTGTTTGGCGATTTCTGTGTCAAGCACCCCGTCGTCCCTGCGTCGGATCTGATCGTTGTAACGTGCCATGTCGTTCAGGGAGCCTCTGAACACGATCGCCACCAGCCAGCCAGCCGCTGCACGAGTCCAGAAGATCATCACGCTACGCCACCCCACCTGCAGTGTCACTGGTGTCAGGTGTGGCCATACCTTGGATCTGCGGGTCGTACCAGGTTTGCCGAGTTCGTGTCCAATCAGCCCCGCACGTTCACCTCTCAAAGCTATCTAAAGCTTGTCGACCTTCCTAAAAAGCTTATCCTCCCGCATCGATGTGCGAAGTTCTCTCCCTAATAGTGCGCACATGTGCGCTGCGAAGAATGCCATTGGTGGGGATGTGACGGCTATACTGCAGGTCGTCCCAGTGATGTCCAGACCCCTAGGCACTACCTAGCGGAAGCGGCGCCTCATGACCCTGGCAGATGGGACGAAAAGCCCTGAGGAAAAATAGCATGTGTGCCTGCTTCTGTCGTTCCATCCGGCGTTCCTCCGTTGTCTTGACGTTCCTTGGTAAGAAGAATTGCTGGTAAAAGAAGCCGAAAGGGTATGCTAACCAAAACAACAGATTTGTAAAGCGATCATGATTACTCCACTCGTTTCATCTCTAGCACTGCTAGCAATCTTGAACCCTGTACAAGCCCAAAGTACATTCCCAGGGAAAGCCTTCGACCGTATAGCCATAATATGGCTTGAAAACACCGACTACGACCTCGCAGCAGGAGACCCAAACCTAGCATGGCTCGCAAAGAAAGGCATCAGCCTCACGAATTACTTTGCAGTAACCCATCCTTCCATGCCCAACTATGCAGCCGCCATTTCAGGCGACTACTACGGCATCAACCACGATGACATGGTCGCTATTCCCTCCAACGTATCCACCTTGGTAGATCTCCTCGAAGACAAAGGTGTTAGCTGGGGCGAGTACCAAGAGGACATGCCCTCAGTAGGTTTCCAAGGGAAATCGTACACGAACCCCAAAACCGGAGCGAACATGTATGTCCGTAAGCACAACCCAGCTGTGCTGTACGACTCAGTTGCGCAAAAGACGGAGAGGCTGGCGAAGACAAAACCCTTGACCATGTTCAAAGAAGATATGGACAAGAACCAGTTGCCGCAGTGGATGTTTATAACGCCTAACATGACCAGCGACGGTGATTATAACCTGCGCATTCCCATAGAAGCATACTCACACCCACAGGCCACGACTCCACCGTAACAGTAGCAGGAACCTGGACGCGCAACTTCCTCGAACCCCTCCTCACAAACAAGAACTTCATGAACAACACCCTCGTCATGGTAACTTTCGACGAGAACCACTCCTACGGGCAGCAAAACCGCGTCGTGGCCATACTGCTAGGCGATGCCGTGCCCGCCAGCTTAGTCGGCACCACAGACAACACGTACTACAACCACTACAGCGAGATCGCCACTGTACAAGCAAACTGGGGCTTGCGTACTCTCGGCCGCTGGGACGTGGGCGCAAACGTGTTCAAGTTTGTAGCGGAAAAGACGGGTGATACGGTGCGAGCTTGGTCAGGCAAAGTTCCGTTGAGCAATATGTATTTCAATGCGTCGTATGCGGGCAAGTTGAGCAACAAGAACAAGTCGGTTCCCTGGCCTGTGCCTAACACGGATGCGGTGTATGCGGGGAGGGCTGTGTTGCCGGCTATTGCGGATACGTGGGGGAAGCAGGTTGGGCAGTCTGCGTATACGACTGCGTTGGAGATTCCGGATGGCATGCATCCGGAGGCTGAGTTCAAGTAGTCGCGCCCACCTCATACAAGAAAATAAAGAGACAGGGCTGCAGACTACATCAAGACAAAAACCTGCAAGGTAGGTGACCTAACGTCAACGTAGGCTCTAGGATGTTTAGTTTTTTCCTAAGTTGGCGTACGCCCATGAGTAGAATTTTGAAGATCATCGCTCACACTGAGCAAGAAGTACCAATGACTACTGAGCTATTAATCGACGAAAAAAGAATTACACTGTTGGTAACACCTCTTTTTCATCGACTAATAGCCCAGTAGTCATTGCTATCGACCACTCTGATGTACAACATCCCTAGACTGGGCCATGCCCGCTGTATATACCGCTGTCAACTAAACTGCCCATTGTCTGCGCGACGACTTCTTTGCCTCCTCCATACCCTTGGCATCGCGTCGCAACACAGCACCCACAACCTGTATCCTACCCACGTCTGCGTAAGCGCCCTTCCCAATCTCCTCTGGCCAGATGTCTGGATGCAAAATTGTGTACTCAGCGAGCTCCGCGCCTTCTACTCGTTGCAGCTTCTCTAGGAAGATATCATGGCCAGGATTGGCTGTGGACATCGCGACACCCGTGTAAACCACGATGACACCAGTTGACGACAAGATTTTCATGCCTTCTTCTACAATGCGTATGGAGAGGTCGAGACCAAAGCCAGCGCCACCATCTGCGTATATGGGCAGATCCTCGCCGTCTGTACTCGATGCGATGTATGGTGGGTTGCTGACAATCAGATCCACACCATGGTGCTTCAGATCTTCGGGCACGGTCGTGAAAAGGTTCGACTCAGCAAAGCCCACCTTGACGCCCGCCAGCTGCGAATTGACCTCGGCCAGGCTCAGCGCACGCGGATTCAGGTCCAGCCCCAGCGTCTTTGCCTGCGGATATGTCCTCGCCATGTGTATCGCGCCTGCGCCAGCTCCGCAGCAGACGTCTACGATACTGCTGGGTGCGTGTGGAAGGTGTCGGGATATGGTTTGGAGGAAGCCGACAAAGAAGTACGTGTCGGGGCCGCAGAAGACGGAATCGGACGACGCTGGGAAGGAAGAATGGATGTAGTACAGCGAGGAGACGTCGGGATCGCGACTCGGGAGATTGGTAAGGTACAGGTTGGATACGCGGATGGTGGAGCGGTAGCTTTTGTCGTCATTCTGTGTGATCACGCTGGCTTCGTGGAGGCGTTCGAATATGTCGTCGGGTATTATCGATCGGAGTGCTTCTCTGTCACGTTATTAGTACTGCAAGATATACGATACCTCTTCCCTAGACGACAAATGGTGAGCTGTATGACCTACCTAGTACATGACAAGTTCCACCCAAAGAAGTCGTACGCGTTCTGGGCATCTTCCGTCGCGACATTCGAGCGTCTTTTCTCCACTACCCTGCTCTGCGTCTCTGGCGACGGACACACAAAGACGTAGTTCTGCTTGGCTAGATGTTTAGTCAGGGCCTGGTAGGCGATGGTAGTTTCCGACATGGTTGGAGGAGTGCTACACGTTTGTCTCCGCGGGCGACTTCATGGCGTAACGCCTCTGTGACACAACCAACATGGCTGAGTGTCAGTGCACATGGTACCAAGAGTTGACTGCGCCGCGGAGCAGAAGCAGGTGTCAGGGTGACGTTGTTGTTAGTAATGAAGGCTGCGTGAAAGCCTTCGTGGATGTCGTGATCTGGCCTGATCTACCCGAACGAGAGCTGTTCCAGACGCGCAGTGCAGATTGCATGCAAAGAGCCATCGCTTTTTCTTGTCGCTTGTCGCATCGCTTGCAGTCAATGGACAGATTGATGTCGCGAAGACGTTAGCTCCCACGCGGACGGCTCGCGCGCTTTGTGGGGTGCGCTTGGCCTAGCTGCAAGCAGTCTAGTGCTAGATGTCGTCACGGATCCATTTCCCGGCGATGACATTGACATCTCAAAAGACACCGCTGCGTGGTGTTCATCGTCAGCATGATCTACTGTGCGTGTTTGCCTGGGGGCGCATGCTTCGCCACAGCTGCGCTAGGAATACCTAGTCAAAACCCATGTGCTACTCCATAGCTGGAAGAATGGATTACTATTCACACCAAACTCACGCCTGCACATTATGACAGATTACTCATAATGTTTATTCTACAAACTACTACAGCTGTACTCATTGCGTTTCTTGCAGTCATTGCCTACAATGAAATTCGAAATCGTATTGCGAAAGGAAGATCAAGAAGAAAGGATCTCGAAACTCCAGGTAGCCCAACCATAGCGGCCACCAACGATGCCATACCACCAGTGGATGACGGGACTTTGGAGACATCTCCCATCATTCAGACGTATCACTTAATCGATCCCGAGCTGGAGAGATACAAGCAACTTTACTACAAACTCCATCATCTCGAACACCACCCCGAAATCCTACCAGAGTGTCGCGAGCTTCTCCTTGGTCTCCTCTCCTCAACAATCGCCGACGCAGCCAAGGAACCCCACAGCGGAATCTTGACCGTCGAACAATTCTCGCGCGACAGATTAAATGAGTTCCTCAAAGCTAAGGACGTCGACGTTACCAACCGCTGGGAGGAGTACCTTACGCGTCGCAGAGCGGGTGGATCCCGCGAGATGTTCAGTGACAAGGAAGAAGCGAAGTGGTGGCTCAAGCAAGCAGCACCAGTCAAGTACGTCGATGGCGCATGGCTCGGACACATCAACAAGATTAGCACGCCATTCAAGTACCGTCAAATCACCAAGAATGCCTGGCAGGTCATGTCCGAAGAACTTGGGGACGGAGATCTCGCAAAGAATCACGTCCAGGTGTATCGAGAACTGATGGAGGACATCGAAGCTGGGCTTCCCGCTGCCGATTCGGAAGACTTTATTCATCCCCGTCACGATCTGACTGAAGCACGCTGCTGGAAAGCCGCCATGGCACAGCTCACCATCTCCTTGTTCCCCCACGAGTTCCTTCCAGAGGCTTTGGGCTTCAACATGGCGTACGAGAGTCTGCCGCTCCACTTGTTGAAGACCGTCAAAGAACTTCGCGAACTTCGACTAAACCCCTACTACTTCGAGCTTCATATTTCCATCGATAATGCCGATTCGGGTCACGCTGCGATGGCAATGGCTGCAGTTACCAACTACATCGAGTTGGTTGCAGAGCAAGAAGGGGAGGAGGCGGTGCGTATTGCGTGGAAACGCGTACAGGCTGACTACATCCTCGCTGAGGGCTTGCCTACGACTCCCGAAAGTCCATCGCTCAAGGTCCAGGCCGAAGAGCCCTTTCCTCGTACGGGCACAGAGGCGGCGTTGGTCGACATATTCGCTGCAAAGAGCTTTGTTGCTCATAAAATCCACTGTAACAGTCGCCTGAAAATTGGCCGCCGTTCTTTGGTGGACTGGCTAGAGCCGAATGCTTTCAAAGACGCTCAGTGGCAGAAGGAGTTCGTACAAGATTTGAGTAACTGCAAACCTTGGGTCATAAAGGGTGACAGTGAGAAGAGCAGGCTGGTCAAAGAGTTATCATGGGAAGGCAAGATGTTTGGAAGTTTTACTGAGAAGGAGGTGGAAGTCGTGAAAGCGTGGATCGACGAACTTGGCTCGCCCGTTCAGTCTCCGCAGTCTGATCCAAGCGTGTACTTTGACTTCACGGGACAATCTTCTAGTCCCCCGGTAGAAGCCGTGACCCAGGAATTGGACATCCTTACCGACTACCCCGTCCTCGCGACACCAGAACCAACTACTTCATTCGCGACATCTGACATCATCAATCTGAGCATCGACGAATCCCTCATTCTCGATTTCAGCAACCTCAATCTCAGCAACCTCCTCCCATTATGGCTTACCTCACCCACTCTACTTGAAGCACTACCCGCAGTACCCGTCCGCGCTGCTGACATGTTCGGCTCCGCCATCGTACGCGTACTTCGCGCACAGACCGGGTTCAGTGCGGAAGGTCCTGGTGTCGCCGGCATGGACGAAGTTCATCGGACCGACGACGGTCACGCTGTCGGTCTTGTGGAACTTGGCTTGCGCATGTGCCGCAGGGAAGGTCTGCATGTACCTGTCAGCTTGAAAGAGGGTGTTGCTTTAGGTAGTGATGAGATTGTGTCGTTTTCACAGTGGATGGCTTGGATGGGCATGCGATGGCTGACACACCGGGATGTGCTAGTTGGTATGGCTTGGGCGTTTATGGAGATGCATGAAGCGCTGGCTAGATGGCAGGGAGACATTGCATTGTTGGATGAAGAGAGTCGAAACGTACTGCAAGAGATCGCGGTCAGAGAGCGAACAGGGCTTGATGTCTGCAGAGAAGCGATATTCCATGACCAGAAGCGCACAGAGGAGTTTAGCAGAGGTCTTTTCACAGCAAGGCGAGCGATCAAATCATGTTTCACATAGCAATAGTTGGAAGAAGATCATGTGTAGAACTAGGCATCTTACGATACCCATGAATTCATTTGTTCAAAAGGTGGCCCTCAGGGCTAAAGCAAAGAAGCGAAATCAACAGCCAGACTATTTACAACTCTCCAGCTCAAAAATGTATGTACAATGAAAGACTTTTTAACAAGCCAAAGTAGTCGCCCTCTACTTCTTGAGGGTAAGGAGACCGGGCCTGTAGGGGAGACGGTCGTAGTCGCCGCCGGCGTTGGGGTTGCGGCCCTGGTACAACAGCTGCAGGTTGCAAGGGTCGACGGTCATGGTCTCGTCGTTGGTGACCTTGACCAAGTCTCCGTGGGAGATGTCGTTGGTCCAGGTGGCACCGCTGTTGGCCTTGCCGGCGAAGGGGTTCTGCTCGGTAGCAGCGTTGGGGGTCCAGCTGCCGCCGAGGCTGGAGGCAGTGAAAGAGCGGAAGTAGCGGCCACCAGAGCCGACGGCCTCAACGATCATGAGGTACTTCTTGGAGGTTCCGCCCTTGACGGTGTAGACCTGGACAGCCTCGAAGAGGTTGTTCTGGGTGTCGCTCATGACAACGGTGGAGGCGGTGCCGAAGTTGCCGGGGAAGTTGCCCTGGGGCATGCTGGAGCGGTAGATCTTGCCGTTGTCACCGGCGAAGAACAGGTACATGTTGGTACCGTCACCGATCAGGGTCTGGTCAATGGGACCAGTGCTGGAGCCAGAGATAGTTCCAGAGAAGAGGGGCTTGGCCGCACTCCAGCCGTTGGCGTTGGTGGGGTCGGAGGAGGTCTTGTAGGAGAAAGCGGTAGGTCCCCACTGGTAGGCAATGACCCAGGTGCTCTTGGGCTTGAAGTAGAAGAGAGTGGGTGCGACGAGGCCCTGGCTCATGGCGTTCTGGGGAGCAGATGCGAGCTCGTTGAAGTTGGAGACGACGCCGAAGTTCATGGAGCCGTACTTGGAGCCGGTGTCGTGGTTGGTGGCGTAGACGAGGTGCTTGCCGTTGACCATCTGGGTGGTGAAGTCCTTGAGGTTGGCCCATCCGGCCTTGGGCTGGGCGAGAGCGTTGGATGAAGTCCACTTGTAGCTGGTGGGAAGCTGGCAAGTCTGGGCTGAAGCAGTTGCGCCCAAGAAGGCGACTGCGACAGCGGGAAGGCTGAGGTCGGTAGGAGTGAAACGCATGGTTGCTGATGTGTGGAGAGACTGTTGAGTGAGTGAATGAGAGACTTGGTTGTGTAGTGAGGCCTTACAGACGGACAGCAACAGGATACTTATACCTCCAAGCCTGATGTCGGACCTACCAACCCACAACGTACACAGCCTGGCACATCGTCTCCACTACGCAGACCACCTCATTGTCTCGACCGATCACATTGGCCTCGGTCATAGCTCATCCCGGCGCTGGAAATTGATCTCCATACCGTGGGTCTGTTTGCGGCGTAGTATATTGTTCCGTTGTTGTGGGTATATTAATGACATGGTGTTTCAAGGGAATTGGCGTACCTGCGCGGACACCAATTCTCCGTAATGCGGGGATTACCCGGCAAAGGGATGCCATGCCGTTCTGAAGCCCGGTTGGGGAAGGCGCCAAGTCGTGGTGGGTAATGCTTGATTTCCATGCAGGCTTATGCGGCAACTAACGGTCTGATCGCTAGGGCTGAAGGCTCTATTTTGACGTCTTTCTGTCTCTGCGATTGGTAGCAACAAGGCCATGCAACCATTTTGTTTCAATGTTTAGACGCGACAGAGGGTGGACAACTGTGTTGATTGCTGGAAACAAAATCTCGGCGGTATTCCCACAAATGTGAGTGGTAGTTAGCTTTGTGATACAGAAACTGCCACCGGGTGTTTACCAGAATCCACTAATCGCGCCACTCAAGGTTTAGTGCCCGCTGTGACCAGATGTCAAAACACCGTGAAACACCCGGTGGGCGGAATCTAGAAGCAGGTGCAGAAATGTCGGTGGCGCAACAATGCTGGTGGTGGTCAGGCCAGCGTTTGAACGATTACAGGCAGCTCAGACGGGATCTTAGCGAGGTTGAAGTTGTTGGCAATGCTTATGCTGCGGCGCATTGATGCCCACCGTCCTGACATTGACACTACACTACGTCAATGGATGTGGATCTTTGTTTCGTTTCAACTGCGCGTAGCACAGGGGAAGATAACGACCGCTTTTGCACTGCCCTGGAGTCGGTGAGTGATCTCGAAGCAGTTCATTCCGGTCGCGCATAGACCATGAGTCTGCTGTAAGATTGTACGGAGTGCGTTCTAGATGGAGAGGACGTGGTCGCCGAGTACACCTACCACCTACGCTACTGATATCATTCCAAGATTCGTATGAAGACGAGGCGGTAGGGTCGGTAGTTGAGTCGACTCGTGGAATTTCTTTGCCCGTGAGTATGAACAGCGGTGGTGTGTGGCGCCACCGACAGTGCTGGCAGCCAAGTCACTTAGAACGTTGCCGAGGAATCAAAGCCGACCAGATGACCGACTCAATGTGGACTAGTAGTACAAGTCGTAAGCTGAGCGCAAGGGTCGGCACGAGGACTAGGGCTGTATATTGAGCAAGTGAGCCCCTTACCGTGTTGACAGTTATGGCGAATTCCTGCGACAGTATCTCTCTGAGCGGTATCTTGACTGTATCTTGACACACAACTCGACAGATGTCATCGTACATTCGGAAGCACGGAGCCTATCTTATGGGTACCTTCCGAATCCACTGTACCCCATACCAAGCCTGTAGGAGCCGTGTAGGAAGCTGGGCATCCCAAGACACTAGGCATCTCCCGTGGCTGCAGGAAACGTTCCCAAGACGGATGTTAGCATGGTTCTGGCGCTTAAATGCCCCGTGGGGAAGTAATATAGTTGTCGGCAGTCGCGTGGTTTTGATGATATGTGGCGTCTTGCCCAGAGACGGAATATTCAACGCCGCCCGTTGCGTCCATACTGAGACTCAATCGTGTTGTGGGTTGGCTGACTTGACACGTCTGCTAAGACTCCTCGTAAAGTAGACAGCGAGATTAATTCCTCGGTGCATTCGCTGTCCGACGAGATGGCAAAATGTCCATATTGGCCTAGGGTTTGTAGGTACGGGATACAAGGACAAGGAATATTTAGCCGTCGTGAGTTCGTGCAGGCAAACTGACGAGCTGGTCGGCTAGGAGTGCTGCACATTCTGGCTGAGATGTCAATTGTACGGTATATGTGCGAGGCATGATTGGGATGAGGAAGGAGTGCAAGCTCTTGTCTGAGTTGTAGACGAAGCGAGTGCTGACTCAGCCACTTCCCTATTCGGAATGCATTCGCTGAGGAAGTAGCGAGCTTTGCGCAACCTTTGTTTCTGGCCTCTGACACTGCAAGCTGTCGATTACACAGGCTCTTACTTGGTCGGAATGGATATTATGTTGTGATTGGAAGGTCGTTATATCATTAGCAGATGTATAATGGTTTGGCATTACAGGCATCGCATACCCATCTATTTAGCCTCATGATGAGCCCCTCTCACTGGAATTCGAAACTGCCGGTAACAATTACACTGTGTTGGAAAGATGGCAGGATCGCAGAAGGTGCTGCTACCGCCTAAATCCTGCAGCTTCACTAGCATCGACGGAAAGTGCTCCTCTAGTACCCCGGCCTTGTTCCTGGACGAGTCGAGGTCCCTCAAAACTCAGATGTCTGAGTGCTGGCTATATGGATGAAGCCGGGGTTTTCATGAAGCCATACACGTCTTCATCCATGATGAAATGTGACCAGAACCGTGAACGCAATGTGTTTCGAAGATGTAGTAGTTGGAGGGCCGTATACTACAAATCTGTCAGTTGAAGAAGCGCAGTGGAAGTAGATATACGCACTCGCATGTAACACTCAATGTATATATCCACTCAGGCAACTTGCTCTTGCCACACAAACACTCGCACGCGCGTCTGCGCGCCTCGGCTGAGTACCCCGCACGTGTCCTGTGTATCGCATCCGCGTCGTGAACGCCTCAAAGATAGACGCCATCGTCACGCTCAGGCGCCGGCGCATCACCATTCCTCTGTTCTTCAGCCGCGGTACCATTCGTCGCCGGAGCCACGCTGCCGTTGGTGACCACACCATCAACATTCTCCTCTTCCCTTGGCCTCCACGGCAGACCCCTCACATCCCTGACCTCGTTCTTGATCGCCTCCCTCCGTTCCTCGAACCTCTTCATGACCTGCTTGTTCTCCATCAGCGCCTCGTAGCAGTCGCGGTCGTCGTTTTCGCGCGCAAACTCTTCGAGCTGCTTGTTGCTCGATTCAAGGTGTGTGAGTTGGTTCGTGAGCTCAGAGTACTTGGCGAAGAGCGATTCGACGGAGAGGTCCTCGAGGGCCTTGGAGAAGCGAGTGAAGGTTATGGGGGCGGCGTCGGCGGACATGCTGGGTGGTAGTTCGAGACAAGCGCGTGGTCTGAGGGTTTATTGGGTTCGCAGCAGTAGCCGGGACATCAGTTGGACTGTGAAGTTGGGGTGTGTGAGGTTTGGTGGGTAAGGTTGTGGTGCAAGTCTGTGTGGAACATGACCGCATCTGGTGGGGCAAAAGAACGAAGCTACCCCGCCATACTGCTGAGCTGTTGCCTGAGCCCACTGTATCATCCACCGCACTTGTGAACGGTTGCCTGGAAGCAGTTCAAGTTCTATCTTCGTGATAAATCAGGCTATAGGCGTGTTATTTTGTGGAAACTGCATCAATCAGTAAAATACATGATTTTCCGGCACTTTGGCGTACGAGCTCCTCCAGTCCACCTGCCATCAACGCTTACTAATCCAATTCTAGGGAGTGGTTAACGCGCTGGCCTGCTAGTCCTTCACCGGAAAGTTAGCCAGTTCCTTCGGGAGCGTGTGTTCGAATCACACAGGTGTCGCAACAAACCGATTTTTTTGCACATGGAAGAGACATCCCGCAAGGAGAACATCTCTTTTTGGTCTGCAAGATCCTGATAATAGTAATTAAGCCCTACGACACATTCCAGGTCTGTTCGGTGTTGAGAACTAGCTTTTTGCATTTCCCGTAGACGTGTATTCTGCTAGCCCTCCCCTAGTACACAGAACTCGATATTTCAGTTCGTGTATTCTGGTAGAATGTAATACGTGCCCATTGCTTTGATACATACTTCCACTATCTTCCAGGATTCATACCAGGCATCAGATCCGGCTTATCAAGCACCATACCCCGGAGCAAGACTAGCTGCCTCAACCCCTCCCAATCATCACCCTCCTCATCGCCCCGTCTCCACACTTCCTTGAAACCCCATGCGCATGCAATACGATCCAATGCCGCCCGCTCATCTTCCCTTATGTATCGATCCAGCAGCGGGACACCAGGCCGCCAGACCACTCGGTCGTGGTGATCGTTGTATGTTGTGAGAGCGACGAACCCGAGCGTGCCGGTGCACAAGACATACGTGCTCATGCCCATGAAGGCGTACAGCTTGAAGGTCCACGGGTCGATGAAGCCGCTATAGACAGAGAGTTCCTGGGCGATCATGTAGAGAGCGAGTGGGGTGAGGCCGACGAGTACCCCCGGTAAGCCCATCTTTGTGAGTATGCGATGCCGCCGCCATGCGGGAGCGCGGTAGGTGTGGTCGACGACATCGAGGGCCAGTGCTAGGTCTTTCGCGTCGATGGCGGCCGTAAGCGCTTCGTCGGCGAGATCAGCTGGAATGACCTGCTTAGCCGACTTGGGCGAGGGCTTGGAGAACTTGGGTGGTGACGAGCCTTCAACTGGGACCGGTTTGTTCGCGTAGAGGTAGAGTGCCTCGGGAATAGTCTTCGGTCGGGCAAGTAGTCGCTGCAGGTGGATGTATATAGCGAGGACGTTCGGTGATAGGAAGACTTTCTCGTGCTTTAGGAGACGCTCGGCGAGCTTCGAAAGATACGATGGCGAGGGCAGGGCATCCAGTCCCAGCATTTTCGAACTCTTTCTTTTCGCCGTCTCCGCCATCTCCTCCCCGTCCAGTCCAGAGAGTATGGCGCCCGCTGAGCTCTGCCTTATTGCCGCCTTCTGTAGTTGAGGCTGGCGCGCGCGTATGGCAATGGCTTCTTGCGCAATGCTGTCCAGTCCTTCAAACGCCTCCATTATAACGTGCTCCTTCTCGACCTTGGGTGAATTGAATGTTTCCTGTATTCGCGCCTCCACTTGGGCAAGGTGACTCTTCAACGCCGCAATTCTGTCCGACGTATGTAGGCCGCCATCGTCGCGCGTGTCAATCGCTGCTGCCGTCCGAGGTGTTGTCGCGATGCCTCGTACCGGTATACGGGGTGTCAGAGTCGTGGTTCGCGCGTTTTGCCGCCGTATCGAGGGTGTTCGGAGGGAGGATGCGGAGAGGAATGCGCGGCGGCTTGCAGGCTTCTGCAGTATGTAGTCACACAACTGACATACTGGCCGCGACTGTGCGCGCATTGGCAGATTACCAGGCTTCATGGCGCTGGTGGTGGTATCGTGGGATGCGATCACCAAGTCGTCTGCAGGGCACGTTGCTTAGGTGTTTGGGTGGGAAGCGATTAAAGTTGCTTATCGATAGGACCGCGACTGAAGGTGGACACTCAAGTCCTAGCAGTATCACGTAGCCTCCATGCTTAATTGGCAGCTGCAAGCAACTTCACTTTGTTAAAACTAATTATCTCAAGGGACTATCCCCTGTCCTAGACGCGGAATGAGCCCTGGCATCACGGGGCGTCGAGACGATGCAACGTCCACCTGTACCCGAGGCCTACAGCTATTATCCAGAGCTTCGGTCGTGATAGCCGACATCCAGGGACGTGTACGAATGAAGAGTGAGCCTTGTACCCTTGTAGTCGATATCTACTGCGGATGGACGCCTTTTGATGAGTCACCCGCAGGCGTGGCTAACGAATCGTACCTCGCCTCGTAACGACTGCCCTTGCCTCTACATCATCTGCGCAACCGTCTCGCCAACGTCTGGGTCTACCTAGGTATGGTTCTTTATAATACAGACGCGCCAACAATGTATCGGCAATTCGAGCAAGCGCGAGACTGCGCTGAACGCGAGCTCAAGCAGTAAGTGCTGCGACAGCCGTCAGCTTCCAAAGTTAATTACAGCCATAGAGCCAGCCTCAACTGTAAACTTCACCTCCGGAGTACCGCATCATCCGAGGATGGCGTGGAAGAGAGGCTGCGTCGCTATGATCACTTGACCGATGTTTTACATGCAGCAATTATTCGCTACACGAATGCTGCAAACATGGACGTCGTCGCACGTGTTTTGAACTTACCGCGAGAGCTGCGGGATAACATCTACACGCAGTTATGGCAACCTGACGAGAAACAGGATCCGACTCGCAGTGTAATCTGTTGGTGGGAACTATTCCATGAGCCTTGGTTCAGCGTAGATCACGATCCAGACACACCAGCAGGGTTATCAATGCTGTACATGAACCTTCGGCCGCCTCATTTCATCGACAAGACTTTCGTAGGACTGGTGTTCGCTAAAGAGGCTCTCAAGCTATTCCGAGATGTCGTTGGCAAAGACCTGCGCCCAATTGACGACAAGGATCCCGTGGCTGAATGCCTATTGCTCGACACTTCCGTGGCGGACTTTGTGAGGAGAGACGCATTTGGTGTTGGATTTACCATGGAAGAGTTGGCAAGGAATTTGGATCTGCGTGTGACCTTCCAGTGTGACGCGCTGACTGACAGCGAATTCTCCGAGATTCAGGAGAGCAAGACACACGATCAAGGCTCGCGCACGGCGGATGCAACGGCGTATACACGAGAAGACTATCTTTCAGAGATCAATGATGGTGTCACGGCTTTGCTGGACATTTCACACACTGAACGTGTTACTACTCACAACGAACACCGTCGCCATATGCAGACCCGAGCTAGAGTTGTTACCTTGGCTATAAGACAAGAAGAAGACTTGGGCCCGGGCTGGGATCATGGTTCACTGTTCCTGAAACTTGTCGCTCGCACCTACCATGGGCTGAGAGCCAAAGGTTTCGTAGTCAAAGTCGAGTATCATAGCGAAGAGGTCGATCTCAAGGTATTGTTTGAGGATGACGTCTGGACATGGACGGAAGATGAATGGGAAATCAACCTCTTTAGAAAGAACATGATATCATACGTACAAACGTCCGGCAATTCATCCCAGAGGTACGTTTGGGCACAACTCAGGGACCATCTGTTTCGACACACAGACCAAGACGATCTCACCGCATGATTGTACGACTGCGTGCGATGAATATAGATGCATCAGGTGTGCATCGAAGGCTCGGGATAGACTTGGAAAAGGGCCATTTCGCAGGTCTGACATACGCCTGGCCAGCCAGGAATGGACCCGCCACGTCGATGCCGACGCATGCCAGGTATCTTTGATTCAGTTCGTCAGCTATTCTGCTTGGATGGTGAGTCCGCATCCATTCCCGGCTCCTGCATTTCGCCCGAAAAATCTCCACTTCCGCCCACACTAGCTCCATCAACCTCACTGCTCACACTACCCCTACTTTCTCCAAACGTCGCAGCAAACTGCACAAGCATATTACCATGCTTCACGCTATCAACAATGTCTCTCGGATCCACACCAGCCCTGATTCTCGCCAGGATCTCACTCGCTTCCTCATCCGGCAGCGACTTGAGCATCTCGAACAACTCTTCCAGGTCTTGATGTTTACGTTTCGACTGAGTGTTCTCTGTTTCCGTGTACTGGCACACGGAATCGCGGGACGTGCATTCACTGCAAATGGGACGGTCGCCGTTACACTATGGGTTCAAAAGATCAGAAGGCTACTTTGCTGATGTTGCTTTATATACATGCAATGTACTTGGTCTGTCGGTACCTTGGTTTTACGACTTCTGCAGGCTGCACAAGCTAGAGAGACGCGAGCTCGCTTCGGTTGCGATGGTGGAGCCTCTACTCTCGGTGAGGCTGCAGGGAGGAGAGGGCGTAGAGGGCGTGCCGCAGCACTGTCGCCGGAAATAGCTGGACTGGTCTGTTGCGGTTGCATTACGCACGAGACGGCGCCTAACGGAGGTTGCTTCCTTCTTCTGCTTAGCAGAAATCTGCAAGCAATCTGCCAATCCAAAGGAAGGGGAGGCTTCAAGACAGATTCCTACGCGTGCATAAGGAAGAGGATAGGATGCAAACAGTCGGGGGCAAAAAAGGTGCGAAGAATTGAGAAGTGAAAGGGAACCGGAGAGTGCACAGAAAGGCACACCCAGTTCAAAGGAACATTCGGAAATTGGATTGACTGTACTTGTACAACTAAAGCCGACTTGGTTTATCAGAAAACAATACGACTCACCCTCGCAAAACATCAATATTACCCACTCGCTCCGCCCGCTTGCGGACCAAACGTCTTCTCGATTCGAATTCCTCGATCTTGCCACAGCTCTTGCGATACCTCACGGATATGTAAGA